AATTTCTCTTTCACTTGCCCGTCCAAAACATTCACTTGTCCCGGACAAGCGTTAATGTCGAGCCCTGCATGTCAATTTTTGGAAAGAAAATGAGCTTTCAGAAGTGAATGCTGTTTGAAAAACTTGGTAATCAAGATCTTTTATGACACTTTTGATAATTATTAACGACTGATTCTGTCCAAATCAGGTCATGAAATCGTTCTGAGCTAAAATCACTAACAAATTTATGACTGTCAGCAACCACTTCCAAGAGCTGCTAGTAATCTGTTTTTAAAATGTGTAATGCTTCCTGTGTCCGTGCACATCACAATAGACACTGCCTTTTGAGTTGATATGCTCAGATAGCACCTTTACCTCTCTAGCAACTTTGCCATAAAATGCAGTTTGGAAAAGAAGCTCCCAGGTGATTTAGTACCGGAAAACTCGCAGGGATTGGGCTATAAATTAGTCTTTGGGAGAGGGCAAGCGTTATTTAATTTATGGAGCACAGCAGACATTGCCTGGATGTGTATCTGAGGCAGGAGACAGCTCTGATGGGTTTTCTGCTGCTGGCAGATTGAGCTGGTGTGATGAACTTCCTCTCTGGGGGATTGGAGCTGGAAAGTAACACCCTGTATGTTACTCAGATGAGTCTTACGGACAGCCAGTGTTTTTTTGTTTTTCTTTTCAAACATAGGTTTTGTCTTCTTTGTACTTTGATGAAAAAGCCTTTAAATGTAGTCAATATTTTTAAATTTTTAGTCAATTTAAAATGCATATAATTCTAAATGATAAAAACTAATTTAATAATGTATTAATTGAAACTTCTACCAAACATACTTTAATCAACATAAAGTATTAGCTACTTTTTAGAAGTTACTGTCTTATGTATTCTTCCACAGAGATGATTATTACGTTTCTGTGTTTTTGAGACCATTTAGGAGACCGTTGCATTATATTTAGCATGCAGTGTTATGGTAGTGACTCATTCATAACGAGAGCTGCATGTTTTACTTATTGTTTGTGCACATGTAGGTTGTGATAATTAGGGCTGCCCTCGACTTAAGGATTTTTCTGGTCGACTAGTAGTCGTTCATTTGAAGCATTAGTCGACTAATCGCACATTTATTAATAAATTTAAATCATTATAATAAGCCTTTAATTGCCTAAATAGCCTAAGCTCTCAAGCACACTTATAAAGCTTGCCACAGCGCACCGCAGATGCTAATGATTATGAATGTGTCAGGGAAAAACAGTAAGGAGGCTGCATTAACATTTTAATAATGTATTGATAAACTGTGCTTTCTTTGTTTTCAGTTTAGGAGATGAAGTCGGTGACACTGACTCGTCATCTCCGCTGTAGTGGACGCGCCTATATGCATGTTTCATATGGATTACATAATCTGAGAATATTTGTTTTCCATTTGAATTGGTTCATTTGAAAGTAGACATTTTGCTCTCTATAGATATATTTTTTCATGTCTGTAAGACAAATATACACAGAGTTTCGGCGTTTCGCACTCAAGTTCACAGAGACATAGACGCCAGAAAGCGCATCCTGTTTGCTTTCATTATTTCACAAAAGCGCAGTGTTTTGTTGTTATTGTGAGTGCACATAAATAAACGTAGAGTCTTTACAGATTCGAAAGATGTATAACTCCTATCTGTATGACCAAAAATAAGTATTTTAAGAGCATGTGAGAGCACCGGCACCTCCATCTGTCCTGCAGTGAGCGCGCTTCTACACTCCACACAGACACTTCAATAGCGCACATTTTTCAAGGTTAGCCTAACATTAGATTGAGCGGCCATGTAAAACTGCTAATACTTACATATTTCAGAAGATAAGCCATATTTGAGGTCAATGAATGATAGGCAAGCATTTGGGTGTCCTGCCCGATGTACTAGCCTACCACATAGACCAGCCGTTAACGATCTGTCCGTCACGGACTGCGTGACTTCGCCTGTGGATATGTTTTTTTTTTCTTTTCTGCAACTAAAAATTTTGGTCGACTAACGATTAGTCGACTATTAGGGGGGCAGCCCTAGTGATAATAACTATAGGGATGCACTGAATGTTCGGCAACTGAAATTATTTGTCCGAAAATAGCCAAAAAATCTCTTTCGGCCAAATAAGCGAAAAGACCAAATAAATTGTACCGAACAATGGCGTGACGCGATCAAATAGAGGCGTGCACTAATGCAGCAAACATATTGGCAGTATGGAAGCATTTAAAACTGTCCGAGAAAGACGCAAAAATCATTACAAGCACCGACAGCGAGAGACTGTTTAGCACTGCATCTCATGTCTTCAATAAAAAGAGGAAGGGGTGGTTACTGTATGATGATTGAAATCGTGAAATGGCCTTAAACAAATAAACAGTAGAACGTTATGTTTTCTAATACACACACAAATTGCATTTATTCTGAGAGTGCCGCATGAGCTCGTGGCGCTATCTACTTGTTAGCCAGGGTTTAAAGCGCAAGGAAAATCTGCGCTGAAACAGTGTTACTCGTCAGTTGCTCAGTAACGTTTTTATGAATTTTTACAAGGCATTTTTACAACTCCATCTACATTCATAAATGTTAGTATTGCAATTTTACTGTTGTTCTGTAAAAAATAAAATAGAAAAGTAAATTAATAAGCTGTTACATACTGTTGAAAAGTTGGAGGTTGGTAAGATTTTTTTTTTTAATGTTTTTAAAAGAAGTCTCTTTATGCTCACCAAGTCTGTATTTATTTGATAAAAAATGCTGGAGAAACAGTAATATTGTGAAATATTATTGCAATTGGAAGTAACTGTTTTCTATTTGAGTATATTTTAAAATGTAATTTATTCCTGTGATGGCAAAGATCGATTTTCAGCATCCATTACTCTAGTCTTCAGTGTCACATGATCCTTCAGAAATCATTCTAATATACTGATTTGGTGCTCAAGAAACATTTTTTCTTCTTATTGTTAATGTTAAAAAGCTTTCCTGCTTAATATTTTGTGGAAAATGTGAAACATATTTATCAGGATCCTTATGATGAATATAAATTTCAAAAGAACAGCATTTATTTAAATGGAAATCTTTTGTAACATTATATGTCATTACTGTCACTTTTGTTCAAATTAGTGTATCCCTAATTAAATTAATTAATTCTGTTATGATATAATTATTCTTTTTTTTTTTTTTTTGATTTTCTGACTTTTTAATTTTAAGTTAAATTGTGCTTTGGTTGTATAATGTCTGCTAGAATGTTAAAAAATGTTCAGTGTTAAGTAAATATTTTTAAAGTGTATCCCTAATTAAATTAATTAATTCTGTTATGATATAATTATTCTTTTTTTTTTTTTTTTGATTTCAGTCTAAAACCAAATTTTTATCAGTAATTATAGGCAATCCACATCCAGTTGATTTTTGTTGATTTTCATACCCATCCTTGTTGTCTCTTAAATCGAGGAGTGTTCTGTAAAATCTGAGTCTGTGTTTTGGTTCTGCCCATTTTTTAAGGAATTACTGAGACGGTAACATTTATTCTAATTTAATAATCATCTGTGGCTTGTAAAAAATTTCTCAAAGCAAATGTCTCAGACCGGACTGTATCGCAATCTTGTTGACCAATAGCGTCACTCAGTGCGTGATTGTGCACCCTGGGAATATCTGCAGCCAGTGGGAATGAATGTGACATCTTCAGCAGCGAGCTATGAGTAATCAATAAAGAACTCGCTCTTGCCTTATACATTCTCTACATCACCTGATGGTGACGCAGAATTCTTCAGATTGGCAAAGTCTGGGAACTTTTTTTCCTTCTTCTGCATAAAGGTAATCTGCCAGTCGGGATATGCGTCAGCGTAGTCCTCATGTTTCCTCATTACATTTTCACAGGGGTTTCATTTCATCCCCTGTGGGCAGGGAAGTCAACGCTCCATCAAAATTGGACCGTGTTGCCGCACCTTCACTGCCTGTTTCAACATTGAAGTGCCATACAGTGATTAACCTCTGCTCTGTTTTCTCAGGTTGCTCACGTGTGCATGTGCAAATCAATTTTGTCCTTAGTCAAGTGGAAATATCTCTATTAGTGTAATTGATTATTTTCCCTGGAGCTCCGGCGTGGAATTTTGTAGCCACAAGGTTCATGGCACGGTTCTTCGTCGAAGCTGTGGTAAAATAATTGAGTGCCCTTAAATTAATCATTGTGCACTGTATTCGCAGCAGGAAAGGCTTTAAATCCAGCAGCAAGCTTTCGAATGTAGGGTATCAGAATTTACAGTCACTTCTCAAAGCTTGGAAAGCAAATCCTTGAAAGAGACGACAAGGAAGACTTGGACTTAAACCTGTTGGAATCGTTGGGGTCCTTTTTCTACACCCGTGTGTGGTTTTGGCTGGGGGTGCAGAGTTAAGTTTAGTTTGTAGAGCAATAACTGGGTAAATTTGTCTATGCTTGCCCCCTCCAAGGGTACGGCTGCAATTGTTGAGTCACATGCATTGGGATTAATCAGTTTTTTTTGCATGATAGTCCCTCAAGATCAACAAATCCTATTCCATGTTGAATTTTCAATTAAACTAATCGCTCTTTCTGTCTGAGAACTTGATTTATGAGCATGAGAAAATTTAACAAATGAGCTTTGGTTGTCCTTTCCAAATTTCTTAGCTGTATGTTGGAAATGTACTAGCTCTGAGGAGGTTGCCTTGAAGAGGGTGTGGAAGTTGTTCTCGAGATGCTTTGCATACAAAGGGAGAGATAAGTAGTAGCCGGGACGTTAAAATTCTTAATAGCAGGTTACCTGACATTTCCATCCTGTGACTCAGCCTAATGCTTCTTGTTAACTGTTGATTCCAACACCGTCTGTTATTTTGGAATCAGTGCCGCTCGTGACGCACATTACCGGTGGCATTTGCTTAGAAGTCCCTGAAAGCCGTCTTTTGCCCTTTAGTCATTTCAGAACAAACTGTCATAAAAAAGCAGAACTGGTTAGCTGTGTATACGTATACTGATGCCCATGTGTTTTTAATGGTTTTTATGCTTCTTCAAGGTGACCATTATGGATACTGGGGTGAGAGGGACGATTGCTGTTGGGCTGGTTCCCCAGTATTACAAACTTGACCATCAGCCTGGCTGGCTTCCACATTCAATAGCTTACCATGCCGATGATGGAAAGTAAGTTCACTTTGAGAAATTTTTTTTTTAATTTGTTGTCTTTTTCTTGTGTTAGAATATTTAAGGTATTTTGATAGATAATTGATTACATTTTTCTTTTAAACAAAATGTGTTTTTTGTCAACTTTGTTTTGTTGGTTGCCTGGTGAAATTTTTTTGATTCAAGATCCCTTATTTTTTCCATGAATCTTTCCAGTTGTAAGTCATTGATGACTCTATCTCTCCTTTTCACAGGCTGTACAACGGCAACCCCGTCGGTCAGCAGTTTGGTCCTAAATGTAACCGTGGTGACCGAATCGGTTGCGGTATCTATGCAGACACTTTCGATGCCGGACTCGTCACTGTGTTTTTTACAAAGAATGGCAAGGAAGTGAGTCTCCATGCCTTGGCACCAAAGTCACAGCACGTCACCAATTTACAGTAATACTAACGCAAATTCTTAGTGAATTGCTGATGAACACTGCTGTTGAAAAGTATGGTGTCAGTAAGACTCTTACATTGTCATAAAAAAAATCTTTAAAAGAATGCTAATAAATGCTGTTCATCAAAGAATCTTGAAAAAAGTATCCCAGTTTCCAACAAAAAATGTAGCAGCACAACTGTTTTCAACATCACAATAATAAGAAGAAATGTTTCTTGAGCACCAAATCAACAGGAGTAATGATGCTGAAAATTCAGCTTTGCATCGCATGTAGGGCTGCACGATAAATCGCATGCGATATTTAACGCGCATCTTGTCAGAAAAGCCGGTTCTGTAATCAGCGGTAAATCTCCATCACGTGCGGGCTTTCACATTGAGCAGCATTAACTACACAGAGCCGTTGTTCACTGACGAGCTGCGCAAAAAATTGCGCGAATATGAACGTGGTTTTGCGCAGCTCGTCAGGAAACAACGGCTCTGTGTAGTTAATGCTGCTCAATGTGAAAGCACGCACGTGATGGAGATTTACCGCTGATTACAGAACCGGCTTTCTGACAAGATGCGCGTTAAATATCGCATGCGATTTATCGTGCAGCCCTAATCGCATGAACAAAATTACATTTTTAAATATATTCAAATAGAAAACAGTTATTTTACATTTTAATAATATTTCACAATATGTTTTTACTGACCAAATAAATGCAGCTATGGTGAGCAAAAGAGACTTCTTTTAAAAACTTATTAAAGGGGTCATATGATGCGATTTCAATTTTTCCTTTCTCTTTGGAGTGTTACAAGCTCTTGGTGCATAAAGAAGATCTGTAAAGTTGCAAAGACTAGAGTCTCAAATCCAAAGAGATATTCTTTATAAAAGTTAAGAGTTAACCACGCCTACCTAAAATGGCTCGTTCTAACACGCGAAACTACTTTGTTTGGTCTTCCAAAAGAGGACACGACTACAAATCAGTGGTTAAGTTGTATTTACAACACTGTTCCAGAACAGTCTCAAATCCAAAGAGATATTCTTTATAAAAGTTAAGAGTCAGCCACGCCTACCTAAAACGGCTCGTTCTAACACGCCCTAACATACCTACGTTGCTCTGTGGGAAGATTTGCATAACGCCGCCCAAATGTGCACGCAAAGAAAGAAGGCATAACTTTTATTCTTGCTGTAGTTTTGTTCTTTCCGCCGCCATGTCGTAAAGACGCTGTGTGCTTCGTTGTAAAAGCGAAACTACTTTGTTTGGTCTTCCAAAACAGTACGATATCTGCTTCGTCATGCCTGGAGCTGGTCGCTGAGGAAATACTACAACTTTGCGCTGTGGATCGCTGGATCGGCTTTCACCGTGGACGAAGCGGAGTCCAGCCCGGAGTCGTCACATGTCCTTCCGGATGCTCCTTCGTCGAAATCGCCGGCCGCGCCGTTCTCAAGCCCGCGCCTCTGCTCACTCTAACCCTCCCGCCGTTCCTCACACTAGCCCCCGGCCTCTGCTCACTGTAGGCCGCGGTGTGTGACGCTGTTTCATTGTGAAAGCGAAACTACTTTGTTTGGCCTTTCAAAAATGGACACGACTAGAAATCAGTGGTTAAGTTGTATTTACAACACTGTTCCAGAACACTTCAACCCAAATATTCAGATGTGTGCAGCACATTTTATGGAGGACTGTTTCCTGGAAGAGTAGACAACAGTGCCGGCTGTTCTGACTCAAAGACTGTAAGTACGTCTTTTATATTTAAAGAGTTTTTATATTTTATATATTTAAAGCGAGTTTTTTGGGCAGTGTAGAGTAGTGCTTGTTGTTTGTCATTTCTCCGATCACAAATGCAGACATGGTTGTATGATTATGCGGCGCGATGCAACGCAACGCATAAAAAGACAGTATAACTCATTATAATCCATAATTATGTCCCCACTGGATGCAACGAATGCCTCGTTTATAATGGGCTTTCATGTTTTTGAATCATCGCTCCGGCCGGACAGGGCATCACAATATGGTAAGGGACGTAACATTTCCGCCACACGCTTGAGGTATTCGGCCAATCACAACGCACTGGATAGCTGGCCAATCACAGCACACCTCGCTTTTTCAGACCGATGAGCTTTGTAAAAATCGACGCGTTTCAGAAAGGCGGGGCATAGAGGAGAAACAATAATGTACAGTATGTGGAAAATAATGTGTTTTTTGAACCTTAAACCGCATAAACACATTTCATTACACCAAATACACAAAATAATGTTCCTTTTAGCAGCATCATATGACCCTTTAAGCATTTCTCTAAAATTTTCAAACTCATTATATAGGTTTGATATTAAGGTTTTATCATGATAGACAACGATTTAACTGCAGTGACACACAACATGCCTTTATGTTAAAATTTAATAAAACCACTTTTCATAAAGAACAAGAACATGGTCTTCTTTTTAAT